TTGACTGGAAATTACTAGGTGAAAGATATGCAGAGTTTAATTCTTCAGGAGATGTGTACTGATGGGTGATTAATTTGATGGTCCCTTGAAGGGAGCAGATATGATATCAGGAACCAATGATGAGTCTTTAGTCAGGAAGCAAACAGCAACTAGCATTTGCACACTGACTTCAGAATGTGGGGCTTAGCAAGTCCCAGCAGACCTGCTGGCCTCTGCCCATTCAACCACAGGGATGGGCCTGGGAGAATGTTAGGGGCAATTGTTGGCACTGAACTGAAGGAGAGACGGACAAGAGGGGGTCAGAAAATACTGGAAAGAGCCAAGGTGAATAAAAACAACTCCTATGATTTGCTGCTTCAGATTCTTTAGTGTATTGCTAATTATTGACAATTATTATGTATACATTTTAATGTGGTTACTGCTCCCAAATTGTAACTCAGGTTAACAGGACATGTATGGTTTTGTGGTCTGCAGAATCTGTTGAACTTTCACACTGTGACAACCTTTTATTCTGAGATTATGCCCTATTCTTATTTTTTTGGCTTAATATTCTTTTTAAGTAGAAATGATGGGAATAATGGGTAATAGAATATTTTAAAGCCCCTTACTTGGCAAATAAAAGCTGGCCACCTTTATTGGTCCTCCAATTTTAGCTTTAAATTTTATTGGCCCCCAGAATCTGTATGCCTGGAAGCTAATGCCCAGGTGACACATAATACAGTCTTTAAACCTTCATTTGTCCAAACAACACTCACTGAGTGCAGGTGAACAGGAATTCTTCCCTTGACAAAGAGCTTGCGGTCTTTGGGTCACACATTAGTGTAACACAATAGAGGCTGCAAAACCATTGGTTCTCGGGGTGACAGGCTATAAGAGACAGAGAAGTAGAGAGATCATGGGGATCACGGTCCATCACAAGGTCTTCTTAATATAGAAGCCTCTTCTTAAAGGAATTGTTTAGTTCATTATTAAATATTGGTGCCCGTAGGGAAATAAGATCCACAACAAGGAACACCTCCTCAGAGTTCCAAAATACATATTTCAGAAATTAAAAAGACAAAATAGAATCAAATTTAGGACAGGAGTAGAGGTAAAATATCCTAGACACTAGAATTTATAACTCTTAGTGGAAGAAATCAGCTAAAGTCTTTAAAAAGATATTTATTAGGCAATTGTTTGGTTAAAGCCTGTCAAAGGGAGGAAAATGAATGCCTAATCTCATAAGACAGGTACATGAGAACTATAGTAAACTCTTTCACAGTCTCTAAAACCTTAAATAAAAAGAATCACAATCAAAACATCATTAGTGACATCCACAGCACATTGTAACAACACAATTCAGCCAAGTTACAAATTCTATACAGACTTAGAATACAGTAGGTATCAGTGAAATAGGAGACTATGCTGTTTGGATATATTTACATGAGCAAATACTCTCTAGTCTATTAAAACTACATGGCTAAAAGTGCAAAATATAAGTATTTCTGTTGTTTGAGCCAGAGAATGTTTGGATTTAAGATGTTAAAAATCACAGAATATCTATCAAACTCTTTTTCCCAAATACTTTCTTTGGGGCTGGAGTGGAGGATGTAGGAGAGAAGTTCTTCTGGAAAGAACATTTGTAAACATTCTGGCAGAACCTTCTGAGCATTTACATGAGGCATGGTTTTTAATGGTTTGCCAGTTTTGAAGGTACTTGGCAGCCCCTTGAACAAAGGGTATACTGTGTTACAGCACAGAATTCCAGCAAATATCCAAGCAATTGGGAGGGTTATAGGCATGGCAGTTATTTGTTTTATTTTTCTTTAAGGATGACGATAATTCTCTCAACCAAAACTGCTAGCCTCCAACACCCGAAAGAGTTTGTGTTCAAAAGGAAAAACACAGAACAAGCTTCATCCAAACTTTCTCCTTTACTGGCTTCAAACTGAGGTTGTTGCCAAGAATTGCAATGACTGAATTCATTTAGTGTGAATAAACAAGTGATGTGAGCTTAAAACAGTTAGCAATAGCCACCAGCTCAATTGCTTTCTGTTGCTTTCTCTGGATTCTCTGGATAACAGTTCATTCTCTGGATCAAAAATACTTGTGTTGTCAATTCACTGAATTAACACAGATCACTAATCATCTAGTTAAGTTACAATTGGATATATCCTGGCTAGTGTCACAATTTGAATTGCAAAGAAATCATAGGAGGATCATTAGATATTGAATCATGAGTGACATTATCTTTATCTTCTAAGGACATTACACTAGCTACAGTATTTCTGAAAGCAGAAAGCTCTATTATATTCATTTAGACAATGCGACAAGAAATGTTGATATATGAATAAATGTATGTCTCGCTTTAAAGATGTACACATTGTTTTCTAAAAGACAAGAGAGTGTTTTCTGGCACCAGTCTTGCAAAAAGTCTCCAGTGTTTTTTTAATGTTAAATTCAAGTATATCAATAAATGAAACAGCAAAAAAAAAAATCATAGCTAAAAATGTCAGTGTTGAAGTAACAGTTGTAAATTATTTGTAATGATTGCAGGTACTTAATAAAAGCATTCAAGTGAAAAAAGCTGGAATTTTCAAGTCAAATTCCATCACACTGTAATAAAAAATTTACTATAAAGAAATGGTTTCCAAGGTCTGGCCAGATAATAGAAGTGTTTGCAAATCTCACTGCCACAAAACTTACAATTTTAAATAATTCATGGCAATGAATGCTTTCTTTAATTATTGAAAAGTTCTTATTCAGATAAGGTAAGTTCGTACTCACTTCCTATAATGAAAATGATTCCAACCCTTGATTTTGTAACACACTGTGGTGACAGAAAACATATTGCTGGATAACCAGGAAAATAGAAACAGATTAGAAATGAAGCCAATTCCTTTATTTTCCTTACATTAATGAAGAATGCTGTGACTGTAATTACCACTAGCAGAGACACATAAAGGGCTTCTACAAATGTGGCTGGTTTGTGTAGGAACAGCCCGTTTTAAATTTACATTGAGCCAAATACACAACAAAATAGGGAGATGAACAGCCCCTTGAAATACTGGAGAACACTCTGATCCAGTGCCAAATGGAGATGTTAACATCATAACCTAAAGATATTTATTAGTTAGCTGGTGCAACATAACACAGAAAGTGATCATGAACTCATTAAAGATTAAATCCTTGGCTTACTAAGCTGTAGAGTTTAGAACACATGAGGCACATATTAAATGTTTGTGAAATGATGGACTTTTAGAAATAATTTTCCTCAGTGTACTTTCTTCTTTCTACTAAGTCTTAATTTATGGAGTGTGGTGATACAAGGAAATTACAAACAATAAAAGGGAAATGATATGAGGGCAAATTAAAGATCCCTTTTTCTAAACATTATCTCCTGCATTCCCAGATGAATATCAGCGAAGGACATTGGTGCTCCTTGCTATGAAAACTACTTCCTGTGAGTTAGGCTGGGACTCTGCCATAAACCCAAAAGAAAGTGGGGGACCATTGAACAGATAAGCAACTAATTAAGTGTTGGATCTGATTTTCTTGAAAACAATCAACTGTGTGATGGGAGTAAGCCTTTTTTGTTTGTTTTCTCTAAAGGAAGGATGTATTTATAGACAAAAACTGAATTATCTCTTTGGGATTTACTGGGCCCTATTTAGGACCATAATGCTGAATGACCCAATTAGTATTCCATTGGTTTAAATGAATCAGTGTATTTTTAAAAACACTGATGCACTACCAAGGATTAACTGAATAATTAATTTGCTGAAGTTCTGCATTTAGACTAAACTGATAGCTCAATTTTAGTGTCAGGAAGGATTTCAGAAATATTTCTCTAGAGAAATTATTCTATGCTATGTTTTCATTTTTCTATAATAAATAATCAACTATTTCAGCAAAAAGTCTTTAGTTTTGATGGGTGGAAATCAATCATGGCAGTAATTTCCCTAACTGGTTCAACAAGTCCATGTTGAGCCAATAACTTCATGCAGAAATTGCCTATATGACTTAGTACTGCACAGGACTATGAAGAAACCGTTTTTGGAATCATATATTCACTATGAAAAAGAGTTGATGATATAGGGAGCAATGTCAAGATAAGTGAAAATCTTAGGTTTATAATTAAATGTACAGTATTTAGTTGAAGGTGTCTTCATAATTATGATTAAGAGGGAGACTGGAAATCCAAGTAAACATATCTATCAGATAAGCAGTCGGATGTAAATAGCGAAAACTAATTTGAAGACAGGACATGGCATAGGCATTTTGAAATAAATGGCTATAAGATTTTTTAAAACTTTGAATATCAATAAACAGTAGCATGTAAGTGATTCTGAATTTTTCACTGAAACATTCTATGTTCACTAAGTTCCCATAAGCTTTCCAGAGTAAGTTATAAATTATCCCTTAATTCACAAATCAAAGCCTTATGATTGGTTTAAGTATTTTTGTTAAGCCAAATAAGGTAGTTTGTCATTTCCTATAATTTATATAAAGTCTCATTTCCTGCATATTAACACATGTAATTCAATCTAATTTAAAAACACATCTATTTTATATCCCTTTTCTTCCAAGCATTTAGATGTGATTTTTTAGAATTTATCAGCCTAACACTCTGTTATGCTAATTTTGCTATAAAAACATTTCAGGGAATGAGTATTTATTTTTAAATATTTTAAAATAAAATTAACAACCATTTTACACATACTTTAGAGCTGCAGTGTCTTGTATGGTAACCACTAGCCACCTTTGACTATTGAACAGTTGATATGTGACTAGTGTAATTTGCAGAACTGAATTTTTAATTTTAATTCATTTTAAATTGTAAAAATTATAGTAGTTTTAGTTATTGGAAAGCTTTTAGGTGTGTTCAGACAACTTAAGCTTATGAATCTACTTTTTCACCTGTAAATTTTATAAAAACTAAATACACCAAATATTACTGATGAAAACTTAATGTCTAAAGCATACTAAAAATGTAAAAAAACAAATCAGATTTCAAAGACTTTGCATTCTAATTTATAATTTTTGCATTAACTCCTTAAGTACCTTGCATTATATTTCTCTTGGATAGCACTGATCTAGAGCTATATGAAAACTGCTAGTATTTAAAGGTCATGTTTTAAATTTTTTACCATTATGAAAAAGTAAATCAGGTTTAGTGTTTACCCAGTAAGAAGTGCCCTAATTGCCCTCTCTGCACCCATTCTCTTGTCCAAATTGCAAAGCCCTTGCTAGCACCACCAGCAGAATGTGAAATCATAGTCAGTGAATAATGCAGAAATGGTGTATGAGAGCACTGATGAGTGTGCAATCCAATCAAACTGCTGGCACACTACAGATTCTAGCCTTTCTTTCCCCCCAGTTATTTCCAGATCTATGTGTCTCTATTTCCAAAATTAACCTTCAACTTTCTCCCAATTTCTGTTGTGCTATGGCTTCCGCTTTGGAATAAGCAATGACTTTGCTCAGCAATGTGCTTGGTCATGTATTAATACTAGATTCTGTCCAAGCCCGAGAACTTTCATCCTTCAGAGTGGAGAGCTTCCTTGGGGAGAAGGGTTCAAATCCCAGAAGCTTGAATACCGCCACTCGGTACTTCTTGGACATAATGTTGTACAGAATGGGGTTAATGGCAGCACTGAGGTAGAAGAGGACAAAGGATACCAGGTTGCAGTATTGGCTGATCTGAGCAATCTCCAGGGAGCCAGGCTCGAAGGATTTGGAAAATAAATATCGCCCTATGTGGAAAGGCAGCCAGCAGAGGATGAAAGCGAACACCACGACAGCTAAAAGGACAATAGGAGAGAGAGGGTCAATTCAAGAAATGTCCTAGCAAATTACATCCTATTTTGAAGACAAAGTTTTGTTTTGATTATGTATAGTGTGACCATTGATTTCAGAGAAACATTATGTTCTGCTCTTCCCGATTCCTATATTTTAACCAATATTGACTCTGTCCAGACTAACAGTTCTACCATTTTTACTGAGCTTCCCAGTAAAACCTTCCTATTTAACAACCGTTTGATTGAATTACATATTGGCTCAACTGACTGGACAGTTTATTCACAATAGCTCAGTATTTTACAGTGTTAGACACAACCAAACATGTATGAGTAAAGAGGTTATACTCAACTATAGCTATGTATCAGAGTTTTCTGGAGCACAGACCCCGTTGGATGTAATATGGACTCACTAAATTAAAATCTCTAAGAAGACCAGGACATTGCTTTTTTTTTTTCATTTCTTTTTCTCTTTTTAAGGTTTCACAGAGGACTGAGTATGCAGTCAGGATTGAGAACTACTGAAGGGGATGATACTTTCCCACCTACAATAGACATCAATAGAGTATAAAAGTCTGTCAAACCAACTAACATTAATTATCATCTACTGAAGTCTTCATTTTGCCCATGAAAGGTAATTTTTCTCAAGACCCCTGATTTTCTAAGTTAACTTTAAAATTAAGAAATCAGAAGAAAAATAACAGATAATAATATTGTAGTCCTTGTACCACTTTAGTAATTCCCTTCAAATTGTCAAGGTGAAAGAAAATCAGTATTGGTGTTGAGACACCAACAAGGTTAATTAACAGCTTAAAAATGAAACTGGAGGAAATTATCAAACTTACTATCAAAACTAACAGAATAGAAACTGACTGCCACAGTAGCAATGTGACTCTAAGAGTCCTTTGGAGAGAAGTAGCAGGTTTACCATCTTTTAGTCACATTGTGAGAATCAGTGGTCTAAAAAATGAAAAATTTTGACATTCTTTGAATAAACTCTATCACTTTAATATACAGGATCCCAGGAATTGTAAAACTACAAATACAAAACCACCCTGGGATGACACCTGAAAAGCATTAAGTATGCAAATACTCAAAAGTGTTGGGCTATAATGTCCAAATAATGAAATGTACAGATCCTGGTTTTAAAAAGGAAGTAGAATTAATATTTTGCTCAAATGTGAACACATTTTGTATTACTTGTACCAAACACATATATTTAAATTAGTTGAGTTGATGCAATAAACATTTAGCACACTCCAGTCATGACACAGCACCCAAATGTTCCCTGAAGGATCATTTGCAGAGGCATAGTTAAGTCCAGTCAGTTTCTTAAAAGTCTCCTTTTTTCATGTTGAAAGCCTGACTATCCTAGCTTATCCTACTTTATTCTACCTGGAAAGTTAGGTAATCATGAAAAAGAATGGAGGCTCCAGCAGTGATTTGTCCCTGACTTCCTTATAAAAGCTGTATAAAGAGCAACAGGGTAAACAGAATTGATGTGATTATCTGAAGAAAAAGAAAGCAGGTCAGAAAGCAAATCATAATACTGAAAGAAAAATGAATCATTTCTGACAAAATTACACACACTGATCACATCTTTGGTTAAATTTGCCATTGAATACTTTCCAGATATAATGCTGGCTTTTTTCTGTTATGGTTGTTGTTTTCCAGGGCCCGCTTTTTTAAAAATGCATCTGCAGATATCCACAAATTAAAGCAGGAATCTGAACCTCTCACCTTTAATACCTAAACATCACAGTAGACTTTAATGAAATAATCTGTTTTGAAAAGACAGTTTCTGGGCTGATGTAAAACTCGTGTTTAGTGAAATACCAAGGTGAGACATCTTCCTGTAAAAAAGTAGAGACTGGAAGAAAGAGACACAAAGAGACCAAAAGAGAGAGTTAAGGCGGTAATGGGGTCGGGGGGAGTCAAGAAGGGAGGGCGGGCGGGAGAGAGACCCACACACAGCGACAGAGAAACCAAGAGACAGAGAGCTCAGTACAGACAAGGCAGAAACAGGAGCGAATAACAAAGAGACATACAGAGACCACGAGAAACAGGAAAGACGGGTAGAGAGACTCAGGAGAAAGGGAAAAGCACGGGGAGAGGATAGAATCGGGAGGGAGAGCCCGAGCGCGCGGCCAGAGACCCACCCAGCATTTTCACTGTTTGCTTGTGGTTCTGGTCCCGGATCGAGGCGCCCGCCGCCGCCTCGCCGCGCCTCCTCCGCCACAGCTTCCTGCCGATGAGGCTGTAGAGCACAGTGAGGCAGAAGACAGGCAAGAAGAAGAAGACGCTGGACACCCACACCATGACGGTGAGCAGTCCGGAGCGCACGGCGAACTCGGTGGCCCGGCATTCGTTGGTGTCCCAAGGGTCGGTGCCGTTCTCGTGCTCCACTCCCACCAGCACGAAGATGGGCCCGGCGCTGCAGAAGGCCACGGCCCAGATGACCAGGATGACCAGCTTCACGCGGCCCTTGGTGACTACCACCTTGGCCCGCAGCGGGAAGCAGATGGCGAAGTAGCGCTCGACGCTCAGCGCGGTGATGGTGAGCACCGTGGCGTAGGTGCAGCTCTCGCTGACGAACTGGAAGAGTTTGCAGATCAGGTCGCCGAAGTTCCAGGGCCGGTACTGCCAGAGGCGAACGAGGTCGAGGGGCATGCAGAGGAAGATGAGTAGGTCGGAGAAGGCCATGCTGGACAGGTAGAGGTTGGTGGTCGTCCGCAGCTCGCGGAAGCGCGATACCACCAGCATGGTGAGCAGGTTGCCCGCGACGCCCACCACGAAGAGCGCCACACAGGTGGCGGTGACCCCGGCCAGCAGCGGCGCGGGGAAGAGCGGCAGCAGCTCGTCCGCCAGCGAGTCGTTGTCGCGGGGAGTGTCCCAGCCCAGGTCCCGCAGGGTGAGGTTGGACCCTGGCTCCTCGCTCGGCGTCGCGTTCCACATGCTGCCGGCTCGGCTTCGCGGGCCCTGGGATGAGACCGCGCCGCCGAGAGGCTGGACCCGGCTGGCTCCCGAGAAAGTCCCCTTAGGCGCTCAAGAGTGCGAGGGAGGAGCGGGCGCGGGCTCGCAGCGAGGATGCTTTGGGAGGGAAGAGAGGAAAGTGAGAGGCAGAAGCCGACGGACAAGGTGAAATGGAGAGCACAGGGTGGAGGAGCGGGGGAGGGGAGTGGGCGCGCACACCCTCGTGGTGAGCAGGACGGAGAGTGACCTGCCGTTCTCCGGCACCTCCCCTTTCCCCCATCGTCTCCCCTGAAGTCCCGCTCTCCCAGCCCAGCCTCTGGTCGGCCCCCACGCACGTACCTGTCACCGGGGCAGCCCCACCAGCCCTGCCTCGCCTTCGCCTGGTCGCTCCCGCAGCATCTTAACACTTCCCAAAGCTCCTGGTGCCGGGAGACCGCGGAGACCCTGCCCCGCAAAGAGGGAGCGCCAAGAGCTCTCTCCGCAGCCCTGCGCGCTGCCGGCTAGTGTGGCCCAGAAGAGCTGGTCACATCCGGGGGTGGGTGCGGCGACGGTGGGACCCGCGAGGAGAACGCCGTCAATGGCCTGGACCTCAGTTCCTCCTCAACAACGGGTAGAGTTGGCTAGGCAACCGGTGAGAAAAAGAAGCGAGCATGCCCAGCCGATCTTGGGGAAGACGGAGCAGGGAATCAAAAAGAAGGACCTAGTTGTTTGTGTTCGAGCCTCGTGCAGCCCTAGAACCTATCATAGTGTTAGCGAGAAGAAAGATTCAGAGACGTGTGGCCACTTGTCCAAGGTCACACAGCGAGTTGGGGGGCTCAGGCACTAGACTTGGTTCTCCCATAGGATTTGGACTTTGGAGCGTAAAGGGGCAAGATGTGTAAATAAACTCTCTGAACCCCAGCCCGTTGTACGGTCCCCCATCTCCACGGTGTTGGGGAAGTTACCACTGCCTGATGTAAAACTCGGGGCGGAGTGGGCAGGAGGAGGAGCAGAGGCTGTGAGACCGACTCGTCGAGGGTGCGCAGTAAACATTTTGAGGCCCGACTGAGAGAGACATCAGCCGTTAGGTAGCTTGGGTAAGTTCATCAACATGTTTTTTTTTTAATTGCGAGGATGTTGTGAGGACCCCTGGAAGTGGGTGTCAAGTGTCAGGACAGAACGGGCCGCGTTGCTGTTACTGGGGTTGCGACTGAGGGGCAGGAGCGGCGCCCTGTGAGAATGGATGGGGACCGCTCGCGAGGTGACTACCCTGGACGCGGCCTGTACGTCGCCTGCTTAGAGACAGGATTCGACAACCGAAGACTTTAGGCTGGCGGCTGCCAGAGAACGCACCAACCCGTTGACTTTCTGATGGGCCAGAGTGTTCAGCACCGCGGCCAGCGACCGGTCCTTCCTACAGCCAGCCTACTCTGCGCCGCGTTGACCTCTTCCCACCCGGGCGGCTTCAGCCCCTCAGTCCTGCTCCACGCAGAAGCCGGGGAGCTTCCTCCCAAGCCCACATCGCCATTCAGCGGCTGCGCTGCCGCACCTATCCGCGTTCACTTACCCCCGGCCTAAATGGGAATCCTGTCACTGTGTGTTGGTGGCTTTTCAGAAGCATTTTAGTAAGTTTGCACATGCTTTTGACAGATGGTTAACATAATCTCTACCACTTAAATTATTAACGCCTACAAGTCTACGCAGACCTAAGGCTGAATGTATGCACATGTACATGAAAGATTCCACACATAGTGAGAAACTGCAAGAGGAGATTTGATATGGCAGCCTACTTGGAGAACGTGCTACATAGGTTACCTCTGGTGTGTTACAAAGGTTGGACCAAATGGGCTCCTAAGAAAAAGTTATTTCAAACTACTATTTTAAAAAGGATTACAACTAAGTCAAGCCACCAGTTACTAATAAATTTTTTTAAAAAGTAACAATAAAAATCTGACTTTAACACTTCCCACCCTATATTATCAGTAGATTTATGTATGCAGACAGATCTTTAGTGGGAGAAAACTATTGGGATAAATAAAAATACTGTCGGAAGCTATTGGCTAAGTAAAAGAATAATGAAAGGATTGCGGAGCAAATTTCTAGTCTACTTGGTGCTAAAGCAATGGCTGGTAGATGGGAAAAAAACCTTTTGAAAAGTCTACTGTGATAAAAATTTGGCATCTTGGCTAAAATAGCCAACTACTTAACTGCATTCAGTTGTTTTCTAAAATATAGACAAATCTATATTTTGTGATGAGGAAGAAGCAGGGGATACCACTGAAATCGATCCATTCATTCACAACACATAATAAATAAAATGTCAGTAAGGATGTGCTAGGCACTGGGAAAAGCAAAATAAATTAAAACCAGACAGATGCTGAATTTTTAAACTTAGAGCCTAGAGAGAAAAATATGACTAAATGAAGACTAAATGACTAAATGCAAATAAGATACATGCATTTGAAGAGGTATGTGCAATGAGCTCTGTTGAAATATGCAGAAGCAATGAACTACGCAGAGTTTTTAGGAAAGGCTTCTCAGAGGACGTTGCATGTGAGCTGAAGCTTGAAAGTTGAGTTGGGACCAATGAAACAAAATATGCTTAACTGTTAAGACAGAGGCACAAAAGCACATTGGAAAGAATGAGCCCAGCATGCCTTGTCCTATGACTGGTGTAGGGAAAATTAATATGCGTTCACCAGTTTTTATATTATCAGTGCATACCAATAAGTTATAGTTATTTTTTTTCTTTTTAATACTCAAATTATCCTATCTTTGGCCAATAGGATCTTCTTAAAATGAGCACCAGAATATAGGATGTGCAGTGTGGGTATAATGTTAGCAGGAATCATGCTCTTGCATCTCTGCTCTAGCATACTTTGTGAGTAGCTTCCAGTACCAAGGTCACTTCATGGTCCAAGGTTGCTGCTGAAGATCCAGTCATCCAAATTAGTTCTAAACAAGAAGTAGAAAAAAAGGGGATACAAGTGAGTTTCTTAGAAGCCCAACTCAAAACTCACTTGTAGCACACTAGACAAAACCATCTTCAAGAGAGGCTGAGAAATACATTTTTGTAATAGGCACATTATCTCTCTCAAGGCTCTAGATCTGGTCATTTGCAATCTCTGCTGTATTTCCCAGCCAGGCTGTAAGTAATTTGAGAGCAAAATTATTTTTTCTTTAAATGATCCGTAACACCTAGTATTGTGTCTTGCAAGTGGTAAAGCACTTAAACATTTATTGATTTGGTTAAATTTATATTTCACTTGAAATCACATTTATAAACATAGGACACGTAAGTATGCACATAGGGAAATTTAAGTGCTAGGTTGTACCTTTAATAAAAATACATCATTTACTTTAATGTTTCACTCAAGCTTTGTACACACTGTACTAATACATGGTTTAATCACTTTTTATTTTTCTAGCACATCATGTAGACTCATTTAAATAATGCCCTGCACACATTTCAAACCAAGGAATACACTTTCCAGACAAGCAAGCTGTAAAAATCCAGGTTTCATATCTAGTATATCAACAGGAGAGCAGAACAATTATATTTCTACTTAGCATTCAGCTATCTGAAAAGCATTTCCTGGCTAACCAATGAGACACATTATTGTGAATGATCACTACAAATAATTAAATAATTATATAGTTTAGAAATTCATTTAAAATTTTATGCTGTCCTGATTATAGGAGTAACATATATGTCTTAAAAAATCAAACATATTAAAAGATCCTTAATATTCATCTCTTCCCAACTTTTCCCAAAGATACTCCAATGAGACTTTTTGGTACATTGATTCTTTAACAACTAGTCTTAAATCAGATGTTAAGCATTATTATTTTCCATCTAGTCATTTCAAACCTAAGTAATACCAAAATTTATCTATTAAAAGTTACCAAAGTTATATATAAGTTTATAATTTTGAATAGTTATCCAAGGTTTATGAAAACATGCTCACACTGGTTTGTGTGTTATCTATTGACATACTGTTATGAAAAAGATAATTTAGCTCTTTTGCATTCTGAACCTATGCATTGCCTGTGTTCAGGACACACACACACACACACACACACACACACACAAACTTTTTGTCTTCCAAATACACTCATACCATAATTTTGGATTAGATCTATCTTCAAATGCTCATATTTTGTGCTAATAAAGATATTACTAAATCCAAATCATATAGTCTACTGCAATATCATTTTCTTTTTTGAACTGTTCTAACCACCTCATTGGATGGCTGGACTAGTTTCTATTTAACTACCACCAATGTTCCTCTCAGTGTATTCTAACAGAACAGTTTATTTTATGAATTTCATCTGTCTTGGAGACATCACTTCTGGACACCCGCACTCTCCTGTTCCCGTCTGGGCTGTTGCAGTCTGGTCCTGCCGCACAGATTGTAGTCCTGGTTCTCCATTATTATCCTGAGTCTTCCTCCTCTTAGTTTGCTTTCTGCTTGAAAGAAGTACATTCTCCAGTAACTTCATGAGAGAACGTATAGAAGAAATAAAATTTTGAGGAACTTCTATATTTAAACTATCTTTATTCTGCCAAATTAATTAATTGAAAGTTTAGTTATAGAATTCTGGTTTAGATATCTTTACCCTAAAATATATATTATAAAATTATATATACATGTGTGCATATATATATATGTATGTATGTGTGTGTGTGTGTGTATATATATATACACATATATCTATGTTAGATGGTGGCAAATGCTAAGGAGAAAAATAAAGCAGAAAGAGGGCATGAAAAATCTGAAGAGAAAGGAAATTTTAGGTAGGGTAGCCAGGGAAGGAGACTTAAGTAAAGCCTTGAAGGATGCATGGGCATGGCTGGAGGAGGGAGATGGATGGCATTCCAGGCAGAGGGAATAACAAGGTGCAAACTTCTCAGGGAAGCATGGCAGCTTTGTACTGTGTCTACTTCTCTGAGCTAATTTCAAATAGCTTCCCTGTGTGATTCTTGGCTAGGGTAAGCCACAAGAGAAACATGAAAGAAATTTGCTCAAGGTTGGAGAGGTGGGATTGAAGCAGCAGCCACTTGTATGCTTAGAAGATTGTTGTAGGGCCAGGTGCTGCTCAGCTCATGCAGTTGTCATAAATCTGTTGTCCCACCTTTGATGACGGGGCCAAAACCAGGACCGCAGCTCTCTCAACTCCTGCTGGATGTCCTCCTTCATTTTCTCCCACTCCTGGGCCAGGTCCACGTTTGGCTCTATGGGAAAGGACACTATATTTTGCAAGTCACCCACAGCATAGAGGCTGGAGGGTGGAGGTGGTGAGAGACGGCTCAGGCTCTGAGGTGTGAATTCCAGTTCATTACTCATTCCAGATCCTCCTTGATGGACCCATATTGTACTTTATCTCCCTCTCTTTATGTCTGTCCTTTCTTCCCAACTCCTGTCCTGCTAACTTCAGAACCAGCACCAGATGACAAGCAACAACAATTTGTAAATTGTTTAACCAACAATCTCAATTGTGTAAGGTCAAATCCCTAAAATAAATCCTGTATTCTTTATCACCTTTAGTGGTCTGCTTCTTTGATCAAATCTTTATTCACACAGTAGAATAGTCTTGGATTTTTAAAGACTCAATAAGGAGGCCAAGGTGGCTGAGTGTCGGAATAAAAGAATGGTAGGAGTGAATTAAGAGAGATAATGGGGCCAAATCATGAAGGGTCTTAAAGATCACAATTATGACTTTGCTTTTTCTCTGATTGAGATGTAAGGTCACTGGAGGGTTTGGGGAAGAAGAGCGACATGATCTGACTTTTGTTGTAATATTATTATTTTAACTGCTGTTTAGATAATAGACTGAAAGAGGGCAAGGGCAGAGGCAAGGTGGCCATTTAATAAGCCATTTTAGTAATACAAGCAAGAGATATGGTGACAAGGGAAATTGGTGACTTGGACCACAGTAGTGGTATGGAAATGGTAAGAAATAATTGAATTCTGGGCTTATCGGAGGTAGAGCCCATGGGTTATGTTTATGTACCAGGTATATATCTTACAGCATATTCAACTGAAAAGTATGGAATTGCCATTAACAGATACAGGAAAGATTGGAAATGGAATACATTTTGAAGGGAAGAGTAAGTGCTTAATATAAGATGTGCTAAATTAGA